TCCGACATATGCCAGACAGTATATTTTCTCCTGTGTGAGTCTGGGTCCCCAGAGAGTCACCTGGAACTGGAGTCAGGGCTGTCAGGGAGATTGTGCCTCCCTCCCGATTCAAAAAGACAACCATGTCCTCAGTTGGCAGCCCTTTCCATGTGCACATCCTTACCTCTGCACTTTACTTCCACACCTCCTTTGAGTCTCAGTGTGCTATTCTCTTTCCTTCTAGTTGTAGAATTTCCACTCAGCCAGCCTTCCTGTGGTTCTGGATGATGTCTGTTTTGTCTTTTAGTTGTAACTTTGAAGTGGTTGTGCAAGGCAGCAATTTCAGGTGTTTACCTATGTCGCCATCTTGGTTTCTCCCTGGGTTCTCATCTTTATCCCAATTTCAACTAGGGTTGCCTGCTTTTGCCCGGTTAGTATTTTGGAATCCCTTGAAGGACTTTACTTGAAAAACAGTGCCACTTGTAAGCAATGTATTGAAAACCACTTAACTACGCACAGTATGTCACTTCCTACAAAGAAACAGGCAAACACATCATGCACCTGGCTGCAGAAACGGCTCTTGCTTCACACTTTATAACTCTTGTTTTTCTTCTACGTGCCCTGACTTATTCATCTTGGGCAGGGCATAAATGGCCAACCCCTGCTGGTGGGTGTTGCTCTCAAACTGCCACTGAGAATAGAGTGAATGGCATTGGTCTGGCCATTCTCTCCATCCTCATTCCCTCTGGGTCCCCTTGAATTGCCATATGTGCTATGCATGTGCGGTCTGTTCCCCTTGGGGGTTCTGTGTCAAGTATTCTATCGCTTATGCTTCTGGTGCCCTTGGAAACAACAGCATCCTTTAATTAAAGGCAGTAGGTAGCATGATGACAGGATTAGTATCAGTGTCTGGCCTCCCTAAGGACTAGGGAGCATTGTGGCCAGTTTTCCCATCTGCATAACCAGACTGTTACATGTTTATGAAAAATCAGAGAGAGGGAGCAGTTTTTTTTCTTCTTCTTCTCAGCTTGCAGTCTGCTTTACCGGCTTCAGGAAAATAGTGGAGATAAGTCCCACGGGAATTGTTTGGCTATTTCACTTCACTGAAAATGTAGGGTGCTGTGGCTTTAAATGCATTGCTATTCTGCCCCTTGCTTCACTGCAGAATGAACAACAGTGATGTTCTGCTGAACAAAAATTACAGACGTTTTAGGAAGGGCTCAGCAGTTTTGTGAGAAGGAAGCTGCATTACTCGAATATAATGAGCCAAAAGAGAAAAAAATAAAGATCCGGTTTTCATGCATTAGTAAAGACCCAAGCCCTGACCATGTCACATCCTTGTCTGCTTTGTTATGGGTTTGGAAGGTACAGGGTATTCACTTAGCCGGCAGGCACAAATGTGAAAGGAACTTAGAAGCTGAGCCGGAATGAATATTAGGGATAGAGCTTTTGTTAACTAATTATAGACAGAATATTCAGAAATGAGCGTTTGCAAAGTGCCAGCAATCTGGTGGCCCTATCCAAAACCTCCCACCCCACATATACAAAAAGGGTTTAGAAATCATCATCAACTCAGAGAAAATTCTTTTACAAATTCAATATTTATTTCATTTTATTATATACAAAAAGTAAATGCCAAATGAACATAAAATGAGGTAAAATCCTTTCAGCTGCACTGACTTTAATTGCCCATTACCTGATAATCACAACTAATCATAGAAACAATAGACTGTCACCACAATGTTAAAATTGTTGTACAGAAAGATTGTGATATTTGACTATTTTAAAACTGTTACACAGAGAAAAAGAAATCATAAAGCAACTGGGATGGGGTGAATGTTCAGAGGATACGGAGAGAATCACTCTGTTCAAAGAGATCATCTAAACAGCAAATCTTCAGTCAAGAATAATGTAGTCACAGCTCAAACTCACATCTACTTGGTTGACTCAGCCTAAGTGGGACAACAGTAATCACTTTGCATTTTAATTTTCCCACAGAACACAAATACAGTTGGGGGTGTGGAATAAACGGTGAGTTCAGAGAAGATCTGCAGAGTACCATTATTTCCATAGGAGAGTCTGCTAGCAGGGGAATCATTTGGCATTAAAGACAGCAATGGTGCGTTGCAATCAACTCATGTCTTTGCTGGTGTATGGCACAATGGGCATATTTTGGGTAAAAAATAAAGCCAACGATGGCATCACACATGCAAAGATTTTTTAAAATAAGCTGAATTGTTTTACACTTTTTTCTAAACTCAATTATTAAAATACTTTTTGAGGAATTCAACATCTTTCCATAACTATGTCTCTCAAGTGACTTCTATAAGGTTTGTTTTAAATAATTTAGCAACATGTGTCAATTTCTTTGTCTGGTACCTGCACACACAATTCTCTTGGAAGAGGCAACAATTTCATTGGAGTGACTGAGGACAGAAATTGACTTGTTCTGACCTCTAAATATCTTGTGTATATTTTTAAAAAATAACACAAGGAAAAGAATGTACTTCTAAAAATTCAGAATCTGTAGTTTGTAAAATTATTATCATTTTTAGCATGAGCTCAGTGCTGACCCTTTCAGATCAATTATAAATAATAAATTCCCCCAAGAGAAGTATTTATAGTGGAAGGGGGAAAAACATGAACTAAAGCCATAGCTCCTGTACCATATATATGAGCCACTTTGGGCTTAGCACACTTTCAGGGGTGGTAATAATATATAAGAGCACATCTGAATATATATCTTAGTTTACATAGACAGAATATGTAGAATTTTTGAAAAATCTATATCTGGTGTTGGTATAGTTTCTAATATTTCTAATACTGCCATTATGCAAACTGTCTCAAACACATGGTAATAAGCCATCATTTGCACAATTCTCACAGACCAGTTTTTATGCCTTCCTACGCAGGACAAATTGGAATTCAATGATGGATTGTTGACTGGACAATGGAGGAAAATATTAGAAAGTACTTTTCACCATTAGACTGCCATCTGCATTGATTTCCACCTAAATATCCAGAAGGTCATCTCCACTTTCGTCGCTCTCCACGGTCAGCTGCCGGGTCCACCACTTCTTAACTTCAGAACCACAGGATGCTGTGTCAGTCATGGGGTTCATTTTGCACACCACAGATTTCATGGTTGTCCGCCCTCCAAACCGTAAGTTGACTGAAGACACTGAATGGCTTATTGGCTTTGGTGCTGTGGAATTAATCAAAGTCCTATGAGCAAAATGGCGTTTTACTTGTGTTGCAAGTCATTCCTGAAAAACCATGATTTTCCCATCTAATGCTTTTGATGAACAAGTCCTATCCTTTTGAGTATGAGAAGATGTTGAGTATGAAACCTTTTCAGCACTGGATTCTTTATATTCATAATGGGCTTTAAAATTATCTTCATGGACAACTAGTAATACCATTTGAAAAAAAATGCTGCTTGCCTCTTGCAAAAATGAAAATTTATTTTTTAAAAGTTCCAGTATGGACAAATATAAGTGTCATAGAAATATTAGTGACTCAGTGCTCATTAGTATTATACATATTAAAAAAAAAGAAAAAGGACTGTAATGGATAGTAGTGGAAAGGAAGTAATGCAGATGGTATGGAAAGAATAATATGGGTAAATACTTTTTTTTTTGTAAAAATAAATTGAAGTATAGTTTCAGTGAAAAAGGAATGGTTTGGGAAGTTATTTAAATTTTTCTCATGGCATTCATCCTTCCAATCCATGAATCTGGCTGAAGCAGAGTGTCTGAAGACTTTGTTGACACACTCATGGCTTTGGGATTCCACAGTTATGGTTTTGGGTCCCATTCTGTGACCTGTGGATGTAACTAAAGGCAAGTTCATGTCCTGAAACCCATTTCCTCAATTGTAAAATGAAGAGAATGCAAGTTTTCTCATTGGACTATTATGAGAATTAAATTAGATTAAATGAGATGACCTACGAAAATGCATAGCAGAACTATCATATGATCCAGCATTCCCACTTCTGGGTATATATATTTGAAGAAAGTAAAATAATTATCTTGAAGAGATAGCTGCACTCTCTTGTTTATAGCAATGTTATTCACAATAGTCAAGATATGAAAATAACCTAAGTATCCTTCAATGGATAAATGGTTAAATAAATTGTGATATATAAATTGTGATAACTAAATATTATTCAACCTTAAGACAGAAATCCTGCAATTTGCAACAATATATATAAACATACAGGATATTATGCTGAGTAAAATAACCTAGATATAGAAAGCAAAATACTCTATGATCTCACTTATATATGGAATACCAAAATGTCAAAATTCACAGAAATAAAGAGAGCAAATATAGTAGAATGATGGTTACCAGGGTTGGGAGATGGGGAAAATAGGGAGATGGTCAAAGGGTACAAAGATGCAGTTATGTAAAATGAATAATTCTGGAGATCTAATGTGCAACATGGTGACCATCTATATAATAAAAGCCCAGCGACCATTATGGTGGAATGACCAGAATGACTGGTCGCTATGATGTGCACTGACCACCAGGAGGCAGATGCTCAATGCAGAAGCTGCCCCCTGGTGGTCAGTGCACTCTCACAGCTGGAGTGCCACTCAGCCAGAAGCCGGGTTCATGGCTGGAGAGGGCAGCAGTGGTGGCAGGAGCCTCTCCCACCTCTGCAGCAGCACTAAGGAATGGCAAGCCAAGAGGTAAGGAGAGAGCAAGTGGGTGGTTAGGAGCGAGGGGTCCAGATTGCAAGAGGGATATCTGACTGCCGGTTTAGGTCCGATTGGGCCTAAACCGGCAGTCGGATATCTCCCGAGAGGTCCCAGATTGCAAGAGGGTGCAGGCCGGCTGAGGGACCTCCCTCCCCTGCACGAATTTCATGCATCAGGCCTCTCATAGTTAATAAGACTGTATTGTATACTTGAAATCTGCTGAGAGTAGATATTAAGTGTTCTCACCACAGACAAAAACGGGAAGTATATGAGCTGATGCATATATGTTGACTGCCGCAATCTTTTCACAATGTATATGTTAATAGAAACATCACATTATACACTTTAAATATATGCTTTTAAATAACAAGTAAAATAAAAAGGGGGAAGGGGGAAAAAAGAGGGAAACGCATAGCATGGTACCTGGTACCTTGTTGGTGTCCCCTTAAAATGCCTTTTCTTGCCCTTTGCCTCTTCAAACTCAGCCTGTCCCAATAGCATGCCTCTTTAGTTACCACCATTTCTGAAACTGGGGCCACCGAAGCTTGGGCCATTAGAGGCACTTTTGACAACATCCTTTCTTTTATGCATTTCGGTGAACACCAAGGACTGCACTTCCCCTAGGTCAGTGGTCGGCAAACTCATTAGTCAACAGAGACAAATATCAACAGTACAACGATTGAAATTTCTTTGGAGAGCCAAATTTTTTAAACTTAAACTATATAGGTAGGTACTTTGTTATTAACTTAATTAGGGTACTCCTAAGGCTTAGGAAGAGCCACACTCAAGGGGCCAAAGAGTCGCATGTGGCTCGCGAGCCGCAGTTTGCCGACCATGACCCTAGGTCATCTCTCCTACTTGTTGCTCCAGGGTCTGGACCACTGCCACCAGCTTTGGCCATGTTGTCACCTCATGCCCAGCTTAGGTATCATCCTCTGGCTCCTAACGCTGTCTCCAGGCTCACTCTCTATTCTGCTGCCAAGTCACTCTCCCTAAAGCACGAATTCCAAATGCCACGTCTTGCTCAGGAACCTGTACTGGTTCCTACTAGCTACAGGATGAAGTTGAAACCACTCAGCCTGTAACTTACAGCTTTTCATGGCCTGGCCCCACCACCTACTCAATCTCATTTCCCATCACTCCCAGCTCTGTTTTCCCAGGCAGAAGCTAGCTTCCCTCTGATCCCTAAATCATAAACTCCTGGATGTGAAAAAAGATATTTTCCTTCTGATGTTCAGATCCACTGAACAACTTTTAGTCTCAAAATTTAGTTACATTATCTTCTGCTTTGTGGAACAGACATGCTACAGAAGAGTTTGCAACATCATCCACCTTCTCATTAGATTGGGCCGAAGAAGGGGAACAATTAAGGAGCATTAGGAAGTCCCTATTTTATCGTAGATTCAATTATTTAAACAGAAAACCACATATGGGGGACAGTGGGCTGTGCAGATCATTGCTCCCCTCCACTTCTGAGTGTCCTTAATGGGATTGTCCTGGCTTCCCAAAACCCCATGTTCTCCTAGAAAAAAATTATCTCACTGAATGTGAAAAAGAATAGGATTGTGAGGATTAAGTGAGGGAACACACACAATGCACGTATAATACTGACTGGCACACAGTAAGTAGTATAGCACTAATATACATCAGATATCATATATATCATATATCTTATATCATATCATATCATATTGTATCATACGATGTAAGTTTTGTTGTTCCTTCTTTGAGAACTGTGGCATTTTCTAAATGATCATATCTATTCACTTCCGCTTAGAATAAATAAATTTTGCCTATGTTTGCAAACACCTTAAATACTCAGGAAGCCCTTGCAAATCCTCTTTTTTTAAAATGATCTTGGCTATGATGTCTCACTTTGTTAATAAGTATTGCCTTCTCAACCACAGTAACTGAAAACGAGGGCCAATACAGTGCTATTTAGAGAAGTTATTTTGGGGGAAATATCTTTGATAAGAAGATACATTTTTCATGTCTATAAATAAGTTCAGATGCAGACCCTTATTTTGAAATCTCAGATCCCAAACACACAGAATGTCAACAACTTAAAATGTCTCAGTCAATGGAGAAAGGACTTGGTGCACATACCGGAGGGCAGACGCCACTGCCCGAACTTCCTCTGGGGCTTCCCTGCATCCCCTGCGTCTTGCCGACTCCCCCCTCTGTCAGACAGGGTGGGGCTCAGAAGCTGCTGCTGGCTGCTCGTCTGCGGGGGGAAGAAGAGAGCAGTGACTTTCTGAACCCCGTGCTCTCCTCCCTCTTTCTGCATCATGGGCCTGTCCCTCCTTTGGCTTTGAGAAAGTTAGAAAACGTGCTGATGGGTGGATGAGTGGGTGAAAAGGTTGTGGTACATATACTAGTGCACAGTGGAATACTACCTGGCCACAAAAAAGAGTGAAGCTGAACCTTTTGCAACAGCAAAAGGATGGACTAGAGGGTATTATGCTACATCAAATAAGTCAGACAGAGAAAGACAAATACTATATAATTTTACTTGTACGTGGAATAGAAAGAAAAAAATAAACAAACCAAATTGAAATGACTCATAAATAGAGAGAACAGACTGATGGTTGCCAGAGGGGAGTAGGGGAGGGGGCGCTGGGTGAAAGAGGTAAAGGGATTAAGAAGTACAAATTGGTAGTTACAAAATAGTCATGGGGATGTAAAGTACATCATAAGGAATATAGCTAATAATCTATACTAATAAAAGGGTAATATGCTAATTAGACTTGGTAGACTGGACGTCTTCTGGTTATCCTTCTGGACAAAGCCATGGTGGCGGGGGCCGAGGCAGAGGCGGTTAGGGACAATCAGGCTGGCAGGGGAGAGAGGTTAGGGGCAATCAGGCAGGCAAGCAGAGGTGGTTAGGCCAGCAGGGGAGAGCAGTTAGGGGCAATCAGGCCAGTAGGAGAGAGCAGTTAGGGGTTATTAGGCCGGCAGGGGAGAGAGCAGTTAGGGGTGATCAGGCCAGCAGGGGAGCAGTTAGGGGCATCAGGCAGGCAGGCAGGCAGAGGGGCTAGGGGTGAACAGGCAGTCAGGCAGAGGGGTTAGGGACAATCAGGCAGGCAGGCAAGCAGGCAGGTGAGCAGTTAGGAGCCAGCGGTCCCGATTAGAGAGGGTGCAGGCCGGGCTGAGGGACGCCCCCCCCACCGAATTTCGTGCACCGGGCCTCTAGTATAGTTAATAACTATGTATGGGGGTCAGTAGGTAGTTGGAATACCAGGTTGGGGGGGGACCACTCTGTAAAGTACATGATTTCTAACCACTATGCTATACAGTTGAAACTAATACAGAATCATAATGAATGTAAACTATAATTGAAAAAAGAAAGAAAATGACAGGAAACTAGTAGGAAAAACAATATGGACCTATAATGTCCACAATGGGGAAAGGAAAAGTGAAATTGAGTAAAAAAGAGGCAAGGAAAGTGAGAGTCACCACTGCACACCATGAGGAAAGGAGCCCTATTCTTCAAGTAGTGTCTTTTCTTTGACTCCCCTCAAGGAACCCTCCACCCCCACGTCCACATTCCCTCCACACCTGGTAAACATCTACTAGAGCAAGGATGGTGGCATTCCAGGAAGTGGGACGGGGGGGGGGGGCAGCAGGCACTGTCTGGCTTGGGGGAAGCATGCTCTTGCCAACCTGAAGGTCAATGCCTAGAGCTTCAAAAAGAAAATTCTCCACAGACAAAGCTGGGATGGGCTTTGGAGGAGATCAAATCTTATATCAATGAAGACTAAAGTCTCTCACTTACATGTGGAATCTAATGAAAAAGTAAACGAAGGAACAAAACTGAAACAGAGGCATGGATACAGGGAACAGACTGACCGCTGTCAGGGACGTTGGGGGACTGGATGAAAGACAACAGTGTGGTGATAGCCAGAGGGAAGTGGCAGGAGAATGGGGGTAGGAGGAGGTGGGCAAAGCGGGGGGGAAAAGGGGGTCGGAAAGACACTTTGCTTGGGGCGATGAATACACGATACAGTGTGCAGATGATGTTTTATTGAGTTGTGCACTTGAAGCCTGTACCCTAATCAATTCAATAAAAGACTAAAGTCAAAGAGAAATGCTGAGACTCCCCACACATGTTACCCACCCTCTGGTTCACCCTCACCTTCCCCTTTCCTATCAGCACACTGACCTTCACATTGCTTCTGTATCCCCTTTGGATGTTTTGGGTACCTCTTGGGTTTTTTTGCTCTTTTAACCTAAAACCAGAGAGCTCTGCAATCATCACTTTCCCTGACTCATCATCCCCATCTGACTATCCAGACCTTATCTCAGCCCTACACCTCAGGCACTGCCAGCCCTCCACGGGGCACATAGGTGGCAGGGCTGTTGTAGAAACCTCCATATCCCTCTTTGTTGACTGTCTCCTAAACAAGTGCCTGTAATTGGTGGCAGATGATTCCTACAGGCTGGGGAGCCAACAACATGAAATCCACTCAAATCTGGGCTATAAACAAGAGGGCTCTTTGGAGCACCCACTGGGCCACAAGCTTCAGGCTTCAGTGTTTATGGCTGGCCCCTGACTGGGTCACCACACAATCATAAGTCTGATGCTGTCAGAGGCGGGAGGAGGGGGGGTGGACTCTCAGAATGCTGGATCAACTCCACCCAGTCCATAACTGCATCCTCACAAAGGGCAGGGCCTCTGCCAGCTGTCTCACCACACAGGGCTCTCTAGGACACTGGGACTCTGTGGTATTTTTATGGACATGCAGATCGAGTTTGGAAATGAAAATATGCGGTGTCCTAGTAAATAGGAGGCCTTCAAGTTAGTCGTCCCCAAACTCCATATGCTCTTCTCATGCCCAACTGAGGAAGAACAAATCCTCAATTTGAGGAGGAGGAAGGTCAATTTCAAACCTTTTCATTGATTTCATTGCAAGTTTCTATGACTTGGTAGGAGAAAACATTAGGGCAGAGCTTCAAGCAAACCCTGTTCTCCTAAATCAGGGGTGGGGAATCTTTTTCTGCCAAAGGGCCATTTGGATATTTATAACATCATTTGAGGGCCATACAAAATTATCAACTTAAAAATTACCCTGCTATATTTGGTCAAATATGTAATTAACTCACCCTTAATGCCTTGGCAAGGCCAGACCAAATGAACTCTCAGGCCTTATATGTATGGCCCATGGGCCAGACATTCTCCACCCCTGTCCTAAATCAAGTGATATTGCCAGGCTTAAATTAAGCCCTTACAGAGGTGATATTAACTCTTTAGACAGACAGAGAGGGGGGTGGGGAGGAAAAGAGAGAGAGAGAGAGAGAGAGAGAGAGAGAGAGAGAGAGAGATAGATATTAACAGTATTTTAAAATCCAGGGCATTAACATTAGTATCCATACAAATCAGAATCTTTTCAAATAACCTCAATAAACTCAGGGACCACAAAGACAAATATAATATTGGATCACCCTATTCCAATTGTTGTTTTTAAATCCTTACCTGAGGATATTTTTCCATTGATTTGTAGAGAGAATGGAAGAGAGAGGGAATGCACAAGCCTGGGCCGGGGTGGAGCCTGCAACCAAGGTATGTGCCCTTGACCAGAATCAAATCTGGGACCTTTCAGTCCATAGGCCAACGCTCTATCCACTGAGCAAAACTGGCCAGGGCCAATGGTTGTTGTTTTTTAATGTAAAACCTTCCTATTAGATATATTGTCACCTTATTTGAAATGGCTGTGAACAGCACCAGTTTATCTTTTATTTTAAACATGCACAGAATATCCCTGAATGAAAGACACCTCACACTCATACCTCAGGTTGCATGTTATTATCCTGACTGTTGGCGTTCATGTCTTCACTGGGCTGGGTGGTCTCGATACTGGGGGGATTCAGAAACCGGCTCAGCTCCTGCTGCTGGCTCTCTCGCAGGCTGTGGATGATGCTGCACGATTGCTGCTGTTTCTGTGGAAATATGATCGTTCTTGCAGGAACAGAGAAATCAGCCCACCGCCCTTCTGCCCCACCAGTCAGTCATATCTTCTTCTCTCTGCTCCATAGACCCTGTAGGCTTGGTGACCTCTTAGGAACTTTCAACTAATTTTGGAACTTTCAAGGGTTATTAATTTCTTTTCTAGACTCCCATAAAGAAAGGCTTAGAGGCTTAGAATTGCTTACCCCTTCTATTTTCATTTGCATAACCATTGGGAGTAATGTTCACTGGTACTAGCTTGTGTTTTATTTAAATTAGAATTCTTAAATCACTAATGTTGTTGGTGATCTGATTTTCCCCCCTTCTTATTTCATTCTATGCTCGCTAAGCCTATGTGGATCGCCCCTTTCTTCTAAGATGTAAGAGGCAGAGAGTCTTGGGTGCAGAACTGAAACCCCCATTTTTGTCTCGGTTCTGGACTGGAGCGGGCCGGTCCAGTAGGCTGATCTGTCTCGGCACACACCGGGACCAGGGCAGCCTGATGGTGGGCCTGCACTCCCTGAGCCCTTGCAGGGCCGCTGGACCGCAGATTCTATCCCTGGATCTAGCAGAGCTATGGTGGGCCAGCTGTGACAGGTGCCTGGCTATAGGAGACTGGGGTGTTGGGTTTCTCTGGGGCCCTTAATTCATCCAATAGAAAGATGTGTTTCTGCAGTTGATGTTGTTCTGAAAAACAGGACTTTAAAAATCTATTATGTAGAAATGGTTAGTGATTAATTTGATTTCCCCCCTGTGTATAAAGCATAAGTCAAAAGCATTCATAAAATTAATTACCTAATAGAAATGCCCATTGTGAACACAGTGTATGCAAACACAGTTAATGCTCATGTTCATGGATTTAAGAGTTAGAGAATCTCATAGGCTTATAGGTCAGGAAGCAGCAAACAGATCGCTACACTCCCAGGAGAGGTGGTCTTTAATTAAAGATCACACAGAATTATCAACAATATGTTGGGGATTTTTTAGGAACAAATGAAAAGTAGTTTTGTAAATTCAGTTGCCAGTCAATATGTAGAGACTGCTGGCAGTTTAAACAGCTGAGATTAACAAATGGACAGCATGAATGTTGTAATATCAATGAATTGCTTCTGAAACAGTCACACTCTATTATAAAAATGTGATTTAATGGAAGCTTCTTATGGACTCTGCTCAAGAGGGTACCACTGGATTTGGACTAGAGTTAAGGTCTGAATCATCATCTGACCATGGTAAGTGGAAGAAGCTGACAGAGTTGAAGGGATATAAGGCGAATCACAGAAAGATCTAATCCCCTTGTTCAGGAAGCTCTGGAGGAGGAAATAAAACCCCAGATGCTCCTGGGTCACTCACGGCTCTGATGCGCTTTAAGCACTTCTTCAGCCACATGCGGATGGTCTGCTTGGCCACCTCCTCCTCAATGGTGTACTCCAGCTGCTCCCTTGCAAGCAGCTCCTCCAACTGTAGACTCTTCCGGATGTCAACCGACCGGTAGGAGAGCATGCTGTTGGGGAAATATAGCAGCAATTGCAGCTCTCATTCACCTGGGATTTAGACTCTTAGAGATCTCAAAGCTCAGAGAGGTCATCACTCAGTCCTACCAGTGGAGCAGTCTGATGCCACCCTGACTAACTGGATGGCTTGGGCTAGTTATGTCACCTCACTGCCTCTCTTCGCTCATCTGTGAACTGGGCATCGCCATGGTACCTGCTTTGTTAAATGATGAAATATGTTGATTTAGTGAGGTGATTATAACAGTAAGTTTCTGTAAAACCAAAGATCCAGGCTATGCCCTAATAATCTGCTGCTTAAGATTCTGGAACTTTCCCTGTAGAAGGATAACTGCTCTGTCTATTCACATTCAGCTCCAACTGGTGGTGGTTAATATGCTTGGCTGCAGGCTATGCGTTCCCATCCCCCCATTTCCCTCTCAATTTATCTCATCTGTCCCCCTGGATCTTCCTCATTAATGTTGATGGTTGAAAAACCAGAGTGAAACATTCATTCCCATTCAGTCCTCGGTACAATAGACCCAGACGGCGGCAAATGAAACCAGCACAGCTAATGTGTTGCATGGGGGCTCCCGCACAATAAGGCAACTCATGTGTTCAGGCTGAGGAGTCCACAGCCAAAGGAGGATGCAGCCCCTTCTGGCAGCTCGGCGCTCCCTAGTGTGGCTGCAGGATCTCAGTTATTGCTCCATCCCTGCCTGGCCTGGGTGGGACCTCAGTTCCGTTTCCCTACCCAGATCACAGCATGGTGGCACTTGAGAGGCCCGTCCCCATGCAGCACGTGAACAGTGATCTCTTCTTTGCTAAGTCTTTTCCCACCATGGAGGGAAAAAGTGCATTTGCTCTTTCTTTCTCCCTGCCTCATCAAGAAGCTCATCATTGCTGAACTGTTTTCATCATACACTGGGCTAGAAGGTAGGGAGAGGCCAACCATGCTACCATGGACTTTGCCTTGGTTCATTTTATCAGATGCATCACTGTGTCCCAAAGAGGCTGGATACAATATTAATGACCGTGGTATGCCTAGATGCCTCGTTTTCAGCCTAAAAATATTTGTCACTAGAAGACTGACATTCCGCAAGAGTTGTCATTCTTTGCTATGCATCTGTGTTTCCTACCCCATCTTTTTCTGCCTTTTCGCCTGTTCCTGGAAGAAGTGAATAGTGGGAGGTAAAATTGAGGCCTTGAAAGAACACCCCCAGATCCTTCCTCTCCTGGCATTTTTCAAATTCCAAGCATAATCATATTTCTGTATACCTGATTGCTCCTGACATTTGTGACTCAATACCCACTGTTTAGCTTGCCAGTTACATGTAACATGATGAAAATAGCTGGTGCTGGTAGAGGGTTCTTAACCTTTACTGTGGCATGAATCCCGTTGGCAGGGGAGCCCATGAGACATTTTTTAGAATCATGTTTTAGATGCATAAAATAAAATACATTATTTCAAAGGAAATCAATCGTGTCAAAATAGAGTTCTCAAGCCCGATTCCAGTCAAGGGCACATACCAGGGGTTGCGGGCTCGATCCTCAGCAGGAGGCAGCCAATCAGTGATTCTCTCTCATCACTGATGTTTCTATCTCTCTCCCTTTCTCTCTGAAATCAATAAAAATATATTAAAAAAATAGAGTTCTCAAATTATTTTATTGGAAAGGAGTAATATAATAACATAAGTGCTTCTTTATTAATGCATCAAATAACAACATTTAGCTGAGGTCAAATGATTACCGTAAATTAGAAGTACTGGTGTGCATTAAGGATATTTTAAGATATCAGCCATAGCAGTAATGTGACCTGAAAAATACCTCTGATTTCTACTGATGACAAAGACATGGGTATTGCTAATATTAATATGGTTTGTTGACTGCATGCATCATAAAAAAGAATGCTGCATTTTAGTGAGTAAATAGTGAAAGTAAAGAAGTAATTGTTTTCCTCTTCAAGGCCATGACCTTCTGAATATTATCCATGGGCTCCTGTTTATTCTGAGTTGACTGTTCTCCCTCTAACCTCCCCAAAATATTTTGGGGTCCTAACCCTCAGTACCTCAGAATGTAATCTTATTCCAAAACAGGCCACTGCAGATATAACTAGTTCACATTAGGTCATGCTGGAATGGGGTGGATCCCTCATCCAATATAACCAGTGTCCTTATAGAAATGAAAATTTGGACACAGACCACACACATGCACAGTGAGAACACCATGTGAAGATGAAGGTAGAGATTAGGGTGATGCTTTTACAAGCCAAGGAAGGCCAAAGATGGCCGGCAAACCCCCCAAAGCTGAGGGAGAGGGTGGAACAGATTCTCCCTCATGGCCTTAAATGGAACCAACTCTGCTGACACCTCCATCTCAGACCTCCAGCCTCCAGAGCTGTGAAGACAGTAGGTGTGTTGTTTAAACCACTCAGTGTATGTGTTCTATTACAGCAGTCAGAGCAAACCAACAGAGAAGGCTCTCCAGCCGTAGTGTGCCCTGTCCTGTCAGGATCCTCACCACGCATCTGGAAACCATGGTTTGTCAACCTGCCGGGGCACCCAGGACACAGCAGCCCGGGCAAATTCCTGCCCGACCCACAAGTGGGAAGATCTGAATTTTAGCTCCAGCTTGGCCTCAGGGGCTGAGTGACTGTCAGCAAGTCACTCATCTCTTCTGGGCCAGTCCCTTCCTTAAACCAGGAAGGGTGGGCCCAAGCTCCCGAGGCCCCTCCAAGTCCCTTCTTCAGGAGCCCCAGTTCTGGAAGGGGCACTTCTGGGCCCCTCAGGCTACTCCTTTCGCCCCCCCCCCCACTCCCTTCCCCCGGGAGGCGCTCACCTGAACACGACCAGTAAAGTTCAGCGAGGAAGACCACATGGAGTCTTGTAACCACAGCACATGTGGCATTTTTAGGTTTAGAACGTACTTGTTAATTGCATTTCATGAGGCCTTTCATGGTCACAGCCTCAGTCTCAACTCTGTTCAGCTCTGGGGCACACAGCTGTGCCCC